GGTGATTTAAAAAAGTGTTATTTTAATAAACTAAGATAAAGCAGAAAAAACTTCTGTTTTATCATCTCGTCGACAACATTCATTTTGAATTTTTTTAACACTTTTTTTCACTCCTGGATCTTCACATTTTAAACTGTTGTTGTCAAATCTTTTTCACAGGAATTTAACGGCTTTTTTAAATGATAAGTTAAGCTATCATTATTCCTGTATGTGACTTGCTAAATTCAAACTTTAAAATATTTTACTGAATGTTTGCAATGTTTAGGTGATTAATTTACGATCTTTACGGCCACTAGACTTAGACACTGTTATTACATCTTTGAAGAAAACTCATCATTTGGTGTTGGTCGAATATGGATGGCCATTTTGCAGTATTGGAAGCGAAATCAGCGCAGAGGTTATTTCTTATTCTGTTTTGGAATTTTTTTACTATACAAACGTTTATTTTTTTTCACTGTTTTTTTTTCAGTTTTTAATACCTTTAATTTGCACATTTATTTAGCTATACTGTCTTCTATTTGTTCTGTTGTCTCTTTTTAGTGGCTAAATTTATCCTGCGCTACTGATGACCTAAAACTGCTTTTATAGGTGATAGAATCTGCGTTCGATGAACTGGACGCTCCAATATACAGGGTTACTGGAGTCGACGTTCCAATGCCATATGCTAAGCATTTGGAAGAAGCCGCTCTACCAACAGTTGACGATGTCATTTCAACAATAAAAAAATCTTTACATATCAAATAATAATAGTAAAAGTTTACTATAAAACCTCGAGCTTTTTCTAAACCACACCTTAAGCATCATTTTAGTTGCTTAAAGAGCATTTTACATGATATAAAAATATTATTCTTGATAAACTGTAGTCTGTAAATTGTAAACGAGTACTGCAAACTCAAAAAAAATTTTATAAGAAAATATTTTTAAAATTCAAAGTCTTCGAATAGTAATTAAACGGTTTAGAAGAAGCCTTCATAAAAAGCTACCTCGTTAGTTTATTTACTAAGCATAAAGATATAAGTGTTTAAAAAGTGAAGCGATTTGGCAGATTAAACTTCATATTTTATTTTTTGGCTGTATATTAATTATTTAAATGTTCTAACGTTTTCTGAGCATTTTAGTCTTTCTGATGGGCCAACTCAAAAAAGACTTGTAAAACTTTTCTGCAATACTGAGTCAATTCTTAAAGGTTTTTCCAGCAATTTATATGTCAAATAGTTATTATTTATGATCAACTACGTTTGAAATTTGTATTATAGATTTCTCAATAAACTTTTGCGATTTTGTATTTAATTGACTACGGTTATTAGAAACTTTTTTTGTTATGCATTTTTAATTGGTGGTTATAAAATATGGGGACTTTTTCCACTGTATTTATAGTTCATCACTTATCAATCATCAACAATTTTTATGCAAAAGAACCGACTGCGTATTCGTTTAATGAAAACACATAATTATGATACATGTTTTTTTAAACAGGCCTTTCTATTTCCAAACTACAAATGCAGATCCCGCCAACACGAAATGAATGTTTGCTGTAACAATTCCAACTGTTCAAACTTGGATTTTGATATGGATATGGTTATTAAACGGTTCTCATTTTTTCAGAGTGACTGTTCCGGTAGACGTAATTGAGGTTTCTGATCAGTGCTCTGAGTTATGTTTTTTTTTTTTTGAGCTAGTCAGTAATTCTTGAGAAGGCCTGATGCGGTTCCGGAGAGGTTTTTTGTCCATTATGGTAATTCATTTTGGGACTTCTCTATAATTGCTATAGAATCTAGGGTCACGCTGCTTCACTATGCTGCTTTGCTTAAGAGTCGTGAACTGTTTTTTTGAGTTACGCATTTGTTTTCTCCGCCAGTTTCAACTCTTGTAGAAGCGTATAGGATTTCCCAGTATTATTGGCATTACGGGGTACACCATCAACAATCTCTTTCTATGTGTTTCTGAAAAGGCAGAAACAAGCGCAACAAAAAAACGCGTCACTTGCAAAATCAATTCCGGATGGCAGCAGGCTTTTACAAGAGAAACAGACTCGTTTATCACTAGTTGGGCTAACGTATGACAAACTATACCCTATTAGAGCATTCTAATGACCATAGAGTCTTCCCGGGACGGTCATTCTGATAAAAATTATTTTCTAATCAAGCCAATACTAAGTTCATGTTTGGGCGGTTGAAACTGTTTCAACAAACGCGTATGTTCTGCCGGTGGGGTCTTCAGGGATAACTTAAATATTAGAAGCCTTATGCAGAAGGCCCTGTAGAAGAAAAACAAATCACTTTCTATCTGAGATTTAAGAAAATTTGGCATTTTATTGAAGATGAGAATGTGCTTAATGTACATATAGACTTCTGAGAGTGTGCCACTGCTAAAATGGTTGTTTTAAAATTTTTAATTTACTGACTGTCAATACACCATATTTTCTTTCACTCACTAAATCTTTTTATGATGACATTAATGCATTTCAAAAATTAATTTTAAAAAAAGCGTGTTTTTTTAAGTTTAATAAAGATCTAGAAAACAAATTGCAGATTTGCAGCATGTCGAAAATTGAGTTTTAGATATTTGTGGTTGTGAAGACTTACTTTTGGTTTAAGTCAAAAAAAAATTTTTACTCTGGTAAAAGTTTATTAATATTATTAGTTAGTGAAAATAAACTACTTACAACAAGGTTGTTCGACAGCAAGAAATATTAAAGCTTCCAGCACCAAAATTAATTACGGAAGAGCAATATTACTGAAAAGGTTTGAGGAAGAGGTGAAGGATAAAATGTTTTATCCCACTCTCATTTGGTATTTCTTGCAAGAACTTGTCGCATTATTTTTGGCTAAACTGTTTGCCGTCTCTAAATTAACAACAGGTTACTGGCGGCTGACAGTGAATTGGCTGAGAACTCGGAGGAAGATTTATTGGTATGACGACTCCATTGTTGTTGTTCATCGGAATTTGATTCATACAGGCGCCGCAGCAGGGGCATGGTTGATTGCCAGTGCAAAAACTGGAAAGTGGCTGTGGCCCAATAATGGAGGAAGCTTGTGGAGTGCAGCAGGTTGTGCAACATACTCCCGACGGCATGCCTGATGGCATAGCTGTTTGGATCATTCCAGAGCAGCAGCTTGGTTGTACAATTCCACCCATGATCCCGCCGCAACAATTCTGCTGAACATTAGCATTTTGAACTCCGTTGCAGAAGTTTGGTTGTAGTACGCTACCTACCATACCGTTGCAACAGCAACAGTTTGGTTGCACAAGTCCGTTACAACAATTTGGTCGCATTATTCCACCACAGCAGTTTGGCTGAAATTTGATAACGCACGGTTGCTGGTTCATGGGGCAAGGGCGACTGCTGAAACAGGAAAATTGTTTTGGCTGACAGTTACAACAGCAGCAACATCGTGGTTGGCAACATCCACAACAGCAACAGGGTTTAGACTGAAAAACTGGGCCGGAACTAGGCTGACAGCAACAACAGCTGCAGCAGGATTTTGGTTGAGACATTTGACAGCAATTAGGTTGGCTGCAGCAACAGCAAGGCTGTGGCTGAGTCACTGGGATAGAACGAGGTTTGCATCGGACATTACAGTTTGGCTGACAGCAGTCACAGCAACAGCAGCATGGTTGACAACAACAGCAGCATGGTTGCCAACAGCAGCATGGTTGACAACAACAGCAGCATGGCTGGCAGCAAGAACAACCTCTATAATTTCTTGCAGTTAATGACTTACTATTTTTATTAAAAGTACTACTGGTACAATTGTTTAATATTTTAATTTTAGATTATTTAACCAAATAATTTTGAAAGATAATGCTGATACATTGATTTACAACTTTTGCTCTCATTTAATGACAAAGAATTTACGCGCGATTTCTTCTAGCCTTCCTGCTTGATGTATGCATTCTTCTGTTTGAAGGGTAATTTATAGATGTAGTATTGTCGTCTGAAAAAATATTAGCGCCTGATTCAGTAACTGTAAATGTAGCGGCACTGTCAGCGGTGTTGACAATTGAAGCTGTAACATTTTTCACAGTCGTGGTATTCAGCACTGCCGGTGGGATTGTTGGCAAATTCTGGAAGAATTTGAAACAACAGATTAGTTAAGAATAAATAGCGTTTCAAAATGTTATTCAACATAAAACTTGAAATTGCTTAAGGAATTAGCAGTTAACTAGATAAAAGCAATAAGAAAATATTAAATATTTTGAAACATTAAAAAAAAAGACAAAAAGTTTTATTTACCATTGATAAAAACAAGTTGCTAAAGACGAATACAAATAAGAAAAGTTGACTTTGAGCAGTAAACATTGCTAACAGAAGATGCAGTGATAATCACAGTTCTGTTCTTCTTTTATATTAGAAAGAATAGTACCGAAACTAGATAGAAGAGGTCATACAGTTCACTTTTCTCTTTTTTTTTTTTGTTGCTAAGAAAAGAGAAGAATTTAGATAAGGGCAAGAAAAACTACGTAAAGTGGTTGATCTTCCAGCTAACATTTGCATATAGCTTAATTGGGATACAAAATGATGACAGCCGTAGCATTTACACATTGCTGTATTTGTGCACCGCAAATTTTGATTCATTATGTCAGAACTGTTGACTCTGATCAAACTACTGGTTGATGAGATAAAAAAAAAAACTTTGGATCAATGAATGCATCTGATATTCAAACAATTCAGATTAAACAACTGTACAAATTGAAGAAAAAAAAAAAAGAAAAGGTGTAATTAAAAAGTAGAAAATTTAAGAAGCAAAAAGAGCTTTTTTTTTTGAAAGCAAAAATTTAAAAAATTTCTATTTTGAAGTAAAAATTGTAGATGTTTAAATGTAAATTACTGTGAAAATTTTTAATTGAAGCTTTTAAATAATTGATCTGATTAAAGTTTAGTTCAATGATGAAAAATACTGTTATTTGTGATCAGAAGACTGAATGCCAAAACTGTATCAGCTAAAAACGCTGCGAATGCTTAATTCCTAAAATAGATTACAAAAATTTACATACATTTATTTTCTGGTTAATCAAAATAATTTTCCAAAAAAAAATTTTTTTGAATATAACAGAGATCTGTTAAAGACTCATTTTATGAAATTGAAAAATTTTCTGTTTATCACTTTGACATATAAATTATTTTTTCTTTCCTTTCTGTTGTTTTGTTGCTGATTCCTTTTTCCTTTTTTTGACTAATTTCAAGTTAAACTTAAGCTCAATACAATTAGCTTCTTGTAGTTTTTGAAGAAGAAGAAGCAGAAAAGGAAGAATATCAGTAGCTGTATGTTGATATTAGAACAAAATAAAATTATTTTGGTATAATTATAAAATTGCTACAAAAGTGGCACAAAAAAACTTTTTTTTTTTTTTTTTGCAGAAAAAAGTGGTCAGTGGATGTTCAATGATAAATATGTAAATAAAGTTTTTTTAATAAATCTCTTTCGTTTTTTTTTCTCTTTTTTTTCTGGTTTATTTATTTAATTTCTTGTCTCAAGGTTAAAATATGCTAAAGTGGTCAAAACAAAAAAAAAAAAAAA